TAGTAAAGTGCCAGAATGGGGTCAGGACATAAAATCTTTTTAACTCTCAAATTGCTGCTCTTTCTACTACATTATTTGGCCTCATTTGACTTAACAACTGAAACAAATACTCTTTGATAAAGAGGATTGTACATTCAGAGTCAATCTGAATATGAAAGCATTTTACAATGCATAATGCATTCAGCAAATGTGATGTTAGCAAAAACATCCATAAATATACCAACTTACATACTGTGTATCCAAATCATAAAGACAAACTAAAAAGACACTGAATACAAATCATTTTTTTATGTGTGGTCACATTCCCATTAGTATATACACATTTTTTTTTTGCCCCATAAAAGACTAATAATATCTTCTAACTCCATCATATTCTAACAGATTTCTTCATTCCTACACGGGACATCAGCTGTGGAGAAGTTAATTTTATAGTTAAAATAATTTATAAAGCACCAAAGTGCCAAAAGCTGAAGATAATCTAATACAACACTCAAGAAATCAATGCCTATTTCAGTAATAGAGTTAATGTGCTTTTTTAGGGTGACCACAAAGATAGTGAAGTGGGCCAAAATGGAAGGGTCACATTAACTTTCAAAATAAAGAAGCATCTTAATGCTTTCTATCTACAAAACCAGTATTAGAATTCATGTTTTAATGAGACTGACCATAATTTGTATGTTTAAATGCTCCAGTTACAACCACAATGTCAACCATACAAAAACATTCAGTTTGCAATGGTTCAGGATCACAGATTTAAGAGAAGAGTCTATAATTGGGAAAGCTGCCATTTTATAGCATCAGGGAGCCAATATGAAACTATTCTTATAAAATCATTAGACTGTCACTGCTTTGAAGGAATCTCTAAAAATAAAATATTAATATGATGACTTTTATTTTATTATGGAGCATGCTGCTGCACTAGTACTGACATCTGTAAGGTTTGGGGAGATTAGGAGGAAACTATGCTTAGATAAATGACATGATATAGATGGTAGGGCAAAGTCTAAAATGAGCTTTTAATTTTCTCCTCCAGGCTCTTCTCTTAACCTAACTGATGGTTCTATTCAGTTTTAGCCATTTCTAGTCTAGATAGCAGAGAAGGGACAGTAATATCACTTCAAATGTAGTTTAGGGGTAAACAATGCATAAATTTAAAGGAAGGAATAAAATATACATGAAATATTTGTGAAATAAGACAAATAGTTAACAGGCCAAAATAAGCCTAATTCATGATCAAACTTAAATAAGAAATGAAAAAAAAATTATAGCGTGGAGAGAGAAGAGACAGCATTCATAACAATGCCCTGTAAACTGTAAAGTACTATACAATGAAAAGATAGTGTTAACACTAAAATGATAAATAGGCATTTACTTTATTTATTCCTCTCATCTTTATAAAAAAGATGGGTGCAATAAAATGCTAGTACAAAGCAAGTGCGATATAGAAGACCACACTGCTGGTTAATGTAAAAGGTGTATCTGAGCTCAGTACAATCTGATTTAAACAATGTGACTTTAACAATCAATGCCTGGCCTGGGATTTTCATGAGTTTATCAAAGCTGACAAGTGTTCCCAGCTCACCAAGGAGAGCAGCAGAGCTGTGACAAGCAGAATAAGTCTGCTAAAGCACAAGGTCTGAAATGGCTTCTCAGGAATACTCTCCAGTTTTATAGATTGTAGTGAAAGGTGGGAGTGAGGAGAAAGTAGGGCACAAAACTGAAGAGATTTCCAGATTCCCTGCAACTGATTTACTGTATGAAACAAGGATCTGTGCAGAGGAAAAACAGATGGGCTCTAACATGCCAGGGAATGTGTGCCTAGGGACAAAGCCTCACTGAGAGGGAAAGATCAAATCAAGAGAGGTAAAATAAATTACTCTCTATCATCAGGTGACAATAACTCAGATATATAGTACACTAATACCTGCATTTCCTTTTGTCCTTTATGGTTGCACTCTGCTATCTATATCACTATATTTAATGGCAAAATTCCAAGGAAATCCAATCTGTCCCATCTCCTTTTATTCAGTCTTATTGAATAAAACATAGCTCTGTCTACCACTGAAACCAACCAATGCTCTTTTCTACCTAGCTTTTTGGTCTTCAGAGTCTATTACTTTATCATTTTAAATATAAATAGCTCTCTCCAATTTTAAGGATAAAAAGGTGAACAGGAAATCTAGGCGAAGGGTTGTCCAAATCACTTTTGACAATCTCACAACACAGAGAATAAAATTATCCATTAAAGGCCATCAGGATTATAAACATAATAGATATTTACTTAATTATAAAAGTAACACTAACTGAAGAAACTTGGGATGACATTTGAAAGAAAAAACAAACAAAAATCAGCTATTATCTTACCAAATAAATAAGCAAATATTAATAAAGAATATTTTCTATTTCAAATTAATAAAGAATATTTTTATTTCAATTTTCAATGGTGATTTATTCTGTGTTTATAATGCTTCTAGTCTGGATTTTGGTTAATATTATTTAGAATCTTTCCATGAATATTGTCAAAAGATATTTTTGGTATATTCATAAAATATAAGGAAAATTTATTCATAAATCATATATTCACAAATACAACTTCAAATAGTATGAATAAATATTTCACCCTTTGAATGCACCATAGTGTACTGAAGCATTAACCTATTATTGCCTATTTTTCATTATTATGTATAATGCTGCTATCAACACTTTCCATAGAAAATGCTATTGTGTTTTAGAATTTATTTTTAGACTAGATTCTGTATAGGAATACAGACTCTGGGGCCAGAATGCCTGAGTTAAAATTTTGTCTGAAATCCATTCCAACTATGTCACTTGGAGAAAGTTGTCTAACCTCCTAGTGCTTCAGTTTCCTCAACTATAAAATAGAGATGACACTAATAATAACCACCTCATAAGGTTGCTATGAAGATTAAAGGAGTTAGTTTATACAGAGCATTTAAAATAGTGCCTGAGGCATATTTTAAACACTACATAAATGATAGTATTAATGTTTTTGAGTCTTAAAATTAACTAAAAAAGGTTTTATGAACTTACAGGCCTAGCGGCAAGGTATGTCCATTCCCATTACATCAGATTCTAAGTACCATTTGGATATTTTTAGTATGTTACTGTACAAATTTGTGTGTTCATGTTTATGAATCTACAGATGAAAATTTGTATTTCATTAGCTTTACAGGAAATCCTTGTTTTCTGAGGATAACTGACACTGGAAAGTAACGGTAGTCTTTGTGTGGTTTAATTTAGAAATAACAGAGCTTGTCTCTTTAAAATATAAGTTCAATGATATTTGTATTATTTTTTTATTTATCATTAAAATTTTTCATTTAAAAATAGTAGTTAGAACTCTTATACTTTTTTATTCCTCACCATCTGTTCTAGCCTTAAAGTATGTATTCCTCCCAAATTCATGTACTGAACCCTAATCCCCAGTGTGATGGTATCTGGATGTGGAGGCTTTGAGAGGTAATTAGAGCATTGGTTTCGAGCATTCTTGAATGGGATTAGAGTCCTTACAAAAGAAACTCCAGAAAATTCCCTTGCCTCTACCACTATGTGAGGATCCTCTACGAATCAATCAGGAAACAGACTATCACTAGATACTAAATCTGCTGGTACCCTGATCCTGGATTGCCCAGTCTCCAGAAGAGTGAGAAATGTTTGATGTCCTATATTACAGGAAACCCAGAAAGAGACTTCTCTGAAATTTTAGTTTTAAAGAAAGCATTCCATTTTAAAGTTAGCTTTGTGTCAAAAAAAAAAAAAGATAAAAATAAAGTATTCCAGCATCATATACCAAGTGGTACACTACACATTTTGTTATTTTCTTAAAAAAATAATTCTTATTGTGAGAAAAGCAATATACAAGTATACAACCTTCTAGTGAAGGCTGGACCATTCTTGCATAAAAAGGCCAAGACAGGAAGTAGAATAATAACATGAAAATACAAGTGTTTTCTGAGGTAAATTGATTGGTTAATGCCAATCTCTGTCTCAATTATCAGCATACATTCTCAGTCACTCAGCTGCGTCCATGGGATTTTCCAGGTAAGAATACTGAAGTGGGTTGCCATTTCCTACTTCAGGAGATCTTCCCGAACCAGGGATTGAACCTGCAACTCTTGTGTCTCCTGCACTGGCAGATGGATTCTTTCTACATGGCAGAGAATTCCATGGACAGAAGAGCCTGGCAGGCTACAGTCAATGGGGCTGCAAAGTCAGACACGACTGAGCAACTAACACTACTACTACTACCTGGGAAGCTCCAATCATTATCAGACAAAATCTTTAAATTCTCACTAGCTGAAATGGAAAATAATCAAAGCAAATATTATATTACATCCATTTCTAAACTTCTTCAATGTTATTTATGTTGTCACTAATTTCTAATAGAGGTGAAGTTATTAGGGCAGATGAGCATCAACCAAGAAATGGATTTACAAAGAAAAACAGCAAACTTCATTAAGATGCCTTTTTACCAAGTATACTCAATATTTTTAGTAATAAGACAAAACACATGCAAAGTCATTAGTTGATTCAATAAATACGGCTAAATTAAAATTTAGAAGGTGGTGAATACAGAATCAGAGTAAAGGCAATTTGATCATTTTTATGAAGTATTTCATCCAAATGACAACAGAGGTGGATCATCTCTATTATAAAACCAAATATTTTCCCCTGATCTCCTTTTGTCACAGATTAAGAGTGAAAAATTCTTATTTCAAATTTCTTTTTCTCTAGATTCTTTATTTTATGGCATTTTAAACTTGCTACATACTATAGTCTTAAAATACTGTATCATATTTTTCTATTAAGTTAAAAAAGAATGATTATAACTAATATAACTTATTATGTTTTGATTCTTTTGTAGTTTCCCTATAAAATATACAGGGCTCACTTTTTCACAGGCTGTAGCTTTTTACTTAATAACTAGTTAAGCAAAGGAATACATACTTTGTAATGAAAACAAATCCAAGTATACTTACCACATGAAGAATTTTATTCTCTGTTTCATAGACAGTACAGTCCTGAAAAAAGAAACACGTACATTAATTTAAAAAAATTAAATGTTCCCTTTAAAATACTTAGGAACGGTACTACAATTTGAAAAAGTCTTGAAAACTCAAGCAAAAACAGCAGTTAGAATGGGAAAATGCTTGGAATACTGTATACTAAAACATTCATACTGATTTGCTCTGATGGTCAGTTATACGGCTATTTTAATTTTTGTTTAACTGTGTTTTCTAATTTTACTAATTTTAAACACACATAATAAAGGACAATATACATTAAATAGATGTAAAAGCAACTAATGGAAAAATTACTATAATCATTTCTTGTCTAAACTTATACATGTAATAAATGTATTTTGTTGAAATATGTCCAACATTTCAAATACTTATTATATATTGGAACATTAAGAAAAATATTAACATCAATTTCAATAGTCATATAAAGAATCTCAAAAATACATTATAATATATTAAACATATTTGCATTATGCAATTAAAATTAATGTATGCTACCAATGAATAATAAACTTATAGTTCTAACCTAAATTTGTCTCTGAAATTACAAAAAATTATTTAAAAAAATTCTCCATTGTCTTTTTATCTGCAATTGCTAGACTTGTTTATAAACAGTAATATAGCAAAGTGATCTTTGCTTAGAAACTCTGTGTTTCTATGGTGCAGTTTACTCAAGGAATTTATAAAATGGGCATGATAATAGCAGTAAACCAATAGCGATGTGTGAGAATCAAAGGAGGAAATGAAATAAATGGCTCAGCACTGTCTGACATACAGTAAATGATAAGTATATTTTAACTATGAATTATTGTTGCTCTGCATGATTTAAGAATTTTAAACTAATAACTTTAACCTCAAAATATAAAGTTAACTGATTATTATTTGGCTAGATAATTTTGAAAAAATATATACATTCCAAAGTATTGCATATTTCAAGGAATGAGAATCCATTTCACTTTTCCCCCTGAATTTAATTTTGACAAAAAGGAATCTTGTTCAACATAGCTTTTGGTAACACTATTTCACCAGAATACCTTGCCAGAAGAAGCACATATTCTTTGGGGGGCTAATTTTTTTAACATTAAATTTGGTGTAATTCATTTCACAAACTAACAGAAATACTTAAGGACTGGGTCCTTCCATTTGGAAGGGCTCCTGTGCCAAAGGAGAAGTCTGTTACAATCACTTCTATGTCTATATAATCATATAAAGTCAATTCCTTATTAAGTATGAAAGAATTATGTATACAGAGGAGGCAAGGTATAGATAAAACACTTATGTTTGGAAGTGCATGTGTACTTACATCTTAATTTGGAAGAGTTCAATTTTACAGAATTAACTTTAAACACAATTACACTGGGAAGAGATAACTTGGGAAAAGCTGGGAAGTTGCCCAGTTTCCCCATGCTGCCTCTACAGCTAGCTTCAGCTGTAATGGATGCAAGTTTCATTAACTACCTACCTTCCTAGAATCAAAGGATATGGATTAAATGTTCACAATTCAAAAGGATTCTTATCAAGGAAAAAAGTAAATATGATCTAAATGTATATTCTGTTGTGATAGAATAATCACACAGAGAATAACTTTTTCAAGGTTCTGTACAATATACTTTATTTGTACACCCCTAGTATGATATAAAAAAAGAATTGTTAAAGAAAATCTTATACTATTTTCAGGCTTGGACAGTATAGTCCATGGGGTCGCAAAGAGTCGGACACTACTAGGCGAGTTTCACAATTTCACTTACACTATTTTCAGTAACCACATTGTTGGTAGTAGCGTTGCTAGTTTGTTACTGTTTTATTGAAACTGCTATGTGTGTCTTACAGGATGAAGCAAGTGAACAATTACAAGACAGTAGTCAAGTGGGCCTTAGGAAGCATCACTACGAACAAAGCTAGTGGAGGTGATGGAATTCCAGTTGAGCTATTTCAAATCCTAAAACATGATGCTGTGAAAGTGCTGCACTCAGTATGTTAGCAAATTTAGAAAACTCAGCTGTGGCCACAGGACTGGAAAAGGTCAGTTTTCATTCCAATCCCAAAGAAAGGAAATGCCAAAGAATGTTCAAAATACCGCACAATTGCACTCACCTCACACACTAGTAAAGTAATGCTCCAAATTGGTGAACTGTGAAATTCCAGATATTCAAGCTGGTTTTAGAAAAGGCAGAGGAACCAGAGATCAAATTGCCAACATCTGCTGGATCATCGAAAAAGCAAGAGAGTTCCAGAAAAACACCTATTTCTGCTTTATTGACTATGTCAAAGCCTTTGACTGTGTGGATCACAATAAACTGTGGAAAATTCTGAAAGACATGGGAATACCAGATCACCTGACCTGCCTCTTGAGAAACCTGTATGCAGGTCAGGAAGCAAGAGTTAGAACTGGACATGGAACAACAGACTGGTTCCAAATAGGAAAATGAGTCCGTCAAGGCTGTATATTGTCACCCTGCTTATTTAACTTATATGCAGAGTACATCATGAGAAACGCTGGGCTGGAAGAAGCACAAGCTGGAATTAAGATTGCCGGGAGAAATATCAATAATCTCAGATAAGCAGACGACACCACCCTTATGGCAGAAAGTGAAGAACTAAAAAGTCTCTTGATGAAAGTGAAAGAGGAGAGTGAAAAAGTTCAACACGCAGAAAACTAAGACCATGGCATCCGGTCCCATCACTTCATGGCAAATAGATTGGGAAACAGTGGAAACAGTGGCTGACTTTATTTTTGGGGGCTCCAAAATCACTGCAGATGGTGACTGCAGCCATGAAATTAAAGGACACTTACTTGTTGGAAGAAAAGTTATGACCGACCTAGACAGCATATTAAAAAGCAGAGACATTACTTTGCCAACAAAGGTCCGTCTAGTCAAGGCTATGGTTTTTCCAGTGGTCATGTGTGGATGTGAGAGTTGGACTGTGAAGAAAGCTGAGGGTCGAAAAATTGATGCTTTTGAACTGTGGTGTTGGGGAAGACTCTTGAGAGTCCCTTGGACAGCAAGGAGATCCAACCAGTCCATCCTAAAGATGAGTCCTGGGAGTTCATTGGAAGGACTGATGTTGAAGCTGAAACACCAATACTTGAGCCCCCTGATGCGAAGAGCTGACTCATTTGAAAAGACCCTGATGCTGGGAAAGATTGAGGACAGGTGGAGAAGGGAATGACAGAGGATGAGATTGTTGGATGGCATCACCGACTCAATGGACATGAGTTTGGGTGGGCTCCGGGAGTTGGTGACAGATGGATAGGGAGGCCTGGTGTGCTGTAGTTCATGGGGTCACAAAGAGTCAGACACAACTGAGCGACTGAACTGAACATTTTATCACTCTTGGTGACACTGGTAAGTAATTTTAGCATGGGAGAAAGCAGACACATACATAAAAAGATCAGTAAAAACCTTAGAGTCTCTTGATGTATTATGTATGTATATATGTATGTATGTTTCTCTTAGCTCTGTCCACTGAAAAAGCACAGAAACAATGACCAATTTAGTAGTAAATGAACCCTCCAAAATTGGTGGTATTCAAATACCATTTCACAGGCTTTCTTGGAAAATGGCTAATACCAAACTGGGATAGGAACTGTACAAGAGGAGCATGAATTATATTGTGACACAAAATAGAAAGAAGCTATTAAAGATTACAAGGATTGTGTCAGTAGGACTCAGAAGTCAATATGAAGAGATTCTCCCTGGGCAGAAATGGAGCAATTTGAGTATCTAAGAGGATAACTATAATGGACAGAAATACTAAATATTAAATATATTAATATGTTTGAAGCTAAAATGTAAATATACTAAATATAGCCAAATATATTAAGTTTAATAATATTGAATATATTAAACTAACTGGATCATGTATGATAGATGTATATCTGTAAAGCTCTTGATTCAGCAAATGTTAATCATCTGTTTTAAGGATACAAAGATGAATAAAACATAGCTTAGAGAAGCGCAGTTTAAGAAGATAGGCATTCACCTAAATAAGTTACAATATGTAAAATTCTAGTCTTCAAGAAGTTTCATATTTTAATAACTTGAGGACTATAAATGCCACAAAATTATACAAATCAACATATAAAAGGTCAATTAATTAAAAATTTAAAATATTAATATATTTCTTAATAAAATTCAACAAAACCACTGTGTTGTGCTATAAGGCGTCCCAGGCGGTTCTATGGTAAAGAATTGGCCTGCCGATGGAGACGCAAAAGACATGGGATCAATCCCTGGGTCAGGAAGATCCCCTGGAGGAGGAAATGGAAACCCACTCCAGTATTCTTGCCTCGAGAATCCCATGGACAGAGAAGCCTAGTGGGCTACAGTCCGTGAGGTCACAAAGAGTAGGACAAGACTGAGCACACACACACAGCATACATACAGCAGGTACTTCAGGGGGATTCATCTCATCAGTAAGTCATTTTATTTCCATCAAATGTGATTTTTAAAATATTTGCTTCTGAAATGGGAGTTTTATTAACACTCAAGGCCAAATCCTTTTCTGAAAGATCATACCCCAAGTTTTAAAAATAAAATTGCACTGGATGTGAAGAAATCTCCATTTTCTGAACTTATGCACACTATGGAAAGGTACACCTCTGACGTTCTAGTTATTTTTAGGTTAGGATTAAATTTAGATTTTTAAAATTGGATTTAGAGCTGTGCCACTATACACTCCCAGGAATTCTCTTTAGTAGCTCATGCTATCTTTTCTGTACATGCAAAATAACACTTGAATTTCTTTATCCTTTTTATGCATAATGCTTTTATAAATGAAGTGATGCGCATTGAAATGCATCAAATTCTTAATAAGACAAGTTTATATAATGAGGAGTGTTTCTTCAGTTTTGATCACTTTTTTCCTTAGGAAAGTAAGATCACCCCACAGGATCATAATCAGTTATCCTTTTAGCGAAACCACGATCCAATTGCTACACTGAGCAGAATACATAAAAAATTTCTTTCCTATATTTTACCATAGATGCTAAATACTTT